AACGTAAGCCAGAGAACCAGTCTTTTTTGCTCCTCGCTCCGCAGCCCTGCTCTCCCTGCTGCTTTGTGGCATCTTCCTGCACCCTCCAGCACAGAGCGCCGTGTGCTCCCAACACATCCCAGGGGACAAAACCCCTTGCTATGGGTAGGACTGGGACAAAAAAAAAAAAAAGGAAAAAAAACAACAACACCCCACCCCACCATTTCCCCCTCTTTCCTTCCCTTCCCCAAGACCAAAGACTGTAAATACTGTGTCGCCTGCCTCTTGCGTCCTGCCGGTCCCCTGCGCCCCAGCCTGGCCATCGGTCCTGGCATGGGATGTGGTGTGGGAGGGAGGGAAGGAGGAAAGCCCCCGGCTTCCCAGCTGGAACATGCTGGATCATCCCCCAAGGAGACATCAGTGAGGGAAAGGGCTGAGGATGAGACAGCCCCCCCTGCAAAAAAGCACCCTTGGATGCTTCCCTTTCTGGTGCTGGGGGGGACAGCCAGCCCCACAGGGACCTGGCTCCAGCTGCTGGTCCAGTAGACAGGGCCTTTGGGTGATGGCAAAACTAAACACTTGGTTTTCAAGGGGATTTGAAGGGCTATTGCCCAGTATTTCTTAGGATCAGCTTATGCTGAGGGAGCTAAAGTGAAGGTGCTGGGGCTGGGTGGAAGGATGCCTGTGTAGATTTAGGATGACAAGCCAGGGAGTGTCTCTCTCTCTCTTTCCCTCTCTCTCATTCGTTCTTTCTTTGTTTCTAGATAGGAAAAAAACCCATCTAAAACCTGCACTCCCAAGCAGCTGCCTTTGTCCCTCCATTTTCGCTTGGGACTGGAGTGAGCATCTGCTATATTCAGCACACACTTTGTCTTCTTTTTCTTTTTTTCTTTTTCTTTTTCGGTAAGTAAATTACAGTATATATCTTGCTTTGTAAAGGTCCTGACACACATGCACCCCTCTGCCCACACACACATTTGTTTAGGTTAAATCCAAGCAATTCCAGGCGCTCCGAGAGATTTTGCGCTGGACATGCCACTCTGAGGCAAGAGGTGTCTCTGCTGGTACTCCACCTGTTGATTTCTCTCTGTACAGAACACACCAATGCTGAGAATAAATAACTTCCCCATTGCCTAAGCAAGGAGATTTTCTTGGTTTCTTCTCTTTTTTCCCCCCTTTCCTTTTTAATGTGGATACCATTTGCAGAATGATTGCAAAAATCCTCTCCTTGCAGTCTTGGGCTTTCCTTAAATGAAATCAAGCGGGAGTGGGGGGAAAAAAGCATCTCCCAGTTTCTGGCAAATGCTTCTAAGTAGCAAACAGCCTCCAGATCCCAGGTCCTCTGTGGGGTTTGCCTCTGGTGACTGCCAGCACACTCCAGAAACACCAAACAGTGCTGGAGAAACACCACATCGGGGTCCCCACTGCTGATACCCCCTCATCTGGGGACTTTGGATCTGGAGAAGGAAAAGCAAAAAGCCCAACAGGCTCTGGAGGAAGGGGACTGCTGGGCTTTGTTGCTTTTCTCTGCCTTTGCCCCACATTTTAGATCCCAAGTATGATGGCCACAGGTTAACCCTTCACGACTTTGCAAGGGTTTGGATGCAGCAGCGGAGGACATGGGGAAGGGACCCCCTTTGGGAAGTCAGAAGTGGGGTGTGTGCACGTGGATGTGTATGGGGAGGGAGAGCGAGCGAGAGAGAAAGAAAACACACCTGCATGCAAAGCCAAGTAACTGTACAAATGATGCTACCTGTTTTCTGTTAACATCTGAGGGTGTTCTGCTTTTTCATGTAAACCTTGCACATGCTGGCTCTCATCTGCAGTTTGTACTTTTTGGTTTGTTTAGGAATCAGGAAGTTTTCTTTTGTGTTTTTCTTTTTCTCTTTTGGAAAAGCTGAGCTGCATAAAGTTGGAATAAATTAAATGGGATGCCAGAAAACTGTCATCTTCCCCCTCCCCGCTCCCTTCTGTTCATAGGACACGTTTCCTGATGCATCACACACAAATTTGCGCTTTTGTCCTGGGGGTGTTCTCAATACCGAGCTCGAGGAGCGGCAACGGGAGTTGGGCCTTTCATCATTACTGGTCCCAGTTCTGTGAGCAGGGAGGAACTGGTGTCAGTCATCAGCAGGCCTGCTGTGTTCCTGCTCCATACGTGGTACCTTGCGAGCCTGCAAAACGCAGCCGTGCCCTCAAACCGGCGTCTGGCCAGCACATGTGTAGAGACCATCTCTAGGTTTGGTGGAAAAGGGTGGCTGTGTCCTCCTTTGCTGGGCAGAGAGGATGGCCGCGTGCATACCCTGCCCACCATGATGATGCTCTTGAAGGCTCCCTGAGCTGCTGAGAGGCTGCACAGTACTCCATACAAATAATATAATTAAGACCGTATGGCTGTAGCTATCCATATACGTGCATATAGCTGTAGCTTGTGGGTAGGAGTATGACCTGCCAGCCCGCTAGCTGGGGGTTAAAAAGAAAAAAAACGCTAACTTTTTGGGTGGGAAGCACGTTTTTAGCGTCTGCGCCGGCGGAAAGCGGCAGGAACACCCCCCTGCCCACCTGCGCAGGGAGCGCAAGCAGCGCAGGGAGCGCAAGCGGCGCAGGGAGCGCAGGCAGCGCTGAGAGCGCAAACAGCGCAGGGGACGCAAACAGCGCAGGCAGCGCTGGGAGCGCAGGCAGCGCTAGGAGCGCAAACAGCGCAAGCAGCGCAAGGAGCGCAGGCAGGCTCGGCGCGCCGCCTGCTGCCGGCTGCGGCTCCTGCACCGTGGGGGTGTCTTCGGGAGAGCGGACCCAGCCTTGCGGGGTGACATGGCGGGGGGGGCAGACCCCTCCCATGGCGTGGCGGGTTTGGCCCCATCCGTACTATGGGGTGAGAAAGCCAGCGGGGAGCAGGAGGCTGTGCCAGCCCCCGAGTGGTGCAAATAGGTGGGGTGGAATGTGTTTTAGCCACACCCCTGGCAACCCACGGTCCCCAGTGGGGGCTAAAACATGCCGGTTTGGCATCCCGCTCTGCTGTGGGCATGTGGGGTGATGCTGGCAGCCGAGGGGATGGGGGGCACGGGAGGTGGGAGATGAAGGGGTGTGAGGGAGAATGAAGGGTGATGGCTGCGTGGGTGGAGGGGGAGGCCGGATCCAGCACTGGGGGGCACATGGGGCGGTGGGAAGGGCCCCGAGGTGTCTGAGGACCACAGTGTGGCTTGGCTGCCCAGAGATGGCACAGGGATGCTCCTGCACACCGGCACAACTCTCCCTGCTGCCCAGAGAGCTTGGATGCTCAAACATCATGATGTCCAATCCCAAACTGGGGGGATTTTGCTATCTCAGTTTGAGATAGCAGCTGGGGGCTCAGCATCACCGGCAGCAAGGCCCTCTCCCCCCATAACCTGGCTGAACACAGCTGCCGTGCCCCACTGCCTCATCCACGTGGAGAAATTGCTAAAAAATACCGGGCAGCTCTGCTTTAAGGATGGTCTAAACTCCGGCTCGCAATTTTACCACCGCCTTAGTAGGTTGCTCCGGAGTCAAAAATTCTTCTAAACCATCGCCACCACATTACCCCATACCCTGTACCTCCCCCAGCACCCCTATGGAGCTGGCTGAGCCCCCCAGGGGGCTGGCCGGGGATGCTCTGGTCCACAGCACCTCGCTGGTGGGCCCCGGCACGCAGTCCACAAGGGTCAGGCACAAGCTAACTGAATGCATAACTTTATTAAATAAATGCTTTGTCATGAGAAAAGACAAAGATCAAAGAGTAACATAAATTATAAGTTGAATAAATAGTATACAGCAATCTTCACTTTTTAATAAAATGTGAGATTTTTTTTTTTTTAAGTACAAAATGCTAAACAGAGCATTAAGCTCTTCTTCCATTGTCAGTTTTCACAAACTGCTTTTTTTTTTTTTTTTTCCCACCAGTAAGATTATGAGTATTTCTTGTTTACTGGAAAAAAAAAAAAAAAAACAACAACAAAAACAAAACAAAATGAAACAACAGAGCTACCGTATGTATGTAAAGCTATAAAAAGCTACCGTAAAATGTGTAGTGAGTATTGCTTAAAGATAAAAAAAAAAAAAAAAAACAAAAACCAGGCAGGAAACTCGGAATCTGGTGTGTTTTAAACAACTGTGTTAACAACGGTGGGTAACGTGCGCAGTGACGTCTGTCCCGGTGGCAGTGGCGGGGGGGCAGCCAGTGCCAGGACAGCGGTCTGGAAGCGAGGTGAACTGTCAGTTGTTAAATATACAATGCTCCGTTTGGGAAAAAAAAAAAAAAAATCCAACAACAACAACAACAACAACAACAACAACAAAAAAGAGAGTTTTTGTGGGGAAGGGGGAGCAAAAAGAGAAGAGGTGGGGGGAGAGAGCAGAGAAATAGTGCAAAATGCTCTTGTACTAGTGGTTTTCGAGGTCCACTGCAGTACAGACAAGGGGTAGCCCAGCCGCCGAGTGCCGCTCCCCGGGGACATGTGGTGTCCTGACCCCTGTGCCATCCTTGTCCTCTCCTTCCCAGCTCGCATCCTGGGGTCCGGCACAGGCTGGGTGCAAACACGGTGGCCGGGAGACCCCTGGAGCCTCATGCCTCCCCCCAAAATGCACAAACTGCCAGCACTGCCCCACCTGCCTCGTCCCCCTCCCACCGCTCACCTTTTGGTTCTCTCACCTCCGATTGCAAAGGAGCGCTGCTGGCTGCTGAGACGGGGGACACCTCGTCATTGTCACCCTGCGGGGGGTGGCCAACCCCTCCCCAAAAGCCGCTCTCGCCCCCAGCCCAACCCCGGTCCTAAATATTAGTGCAGCCTGCAAACAGCCTCGTCCTGCCGGGGATCCTCGGGGGAGCGGGTGGCCGGGGCAGAGGGGGGGTTGCTCAGTGCCCTGTCCCAGGAGCTGAGGTGGTTTTGGGGGTGGTGGGGGGCGAGGGCAGCTCATCCCCCTCTTTGCTGCCTCCTTCTCCTTCCCCCGGGTTGGTGGGGACAGCACAAGTGGTGCCATCCCAGCGCAGGATGTGCAGGGGGAAGGGAGGCTGTGCGGGATGGATTTTGGAGCTCTGGGCTCCCAGGGCCGTGGCCGAGACACCCTTTGTAGGGGGAGGTCAGGGAGGCACCCTGTGTCTCCCTCGCAGTGTCACCGTGACCTGGGAGGTCATGAGACCACCACCAGGGTCTATGAGCACCCTCACCCTGCAAAAGCATCAGCCCCAAAAGACAAGGTCCATGGGGAGCTGCTGTCCCTCTGCCCGCTCCCATCCCGCCCCGGCAGCACGTCTCCTTTCTCTGCAGCCAAAGGCTTTCAAGTTTTGGGAAATCAAACAACAAAACAAACAATTGAACGTACAAAAAAAAAAGAAGCAAGAAAGAGGGAGAGAAAAGGAAGGAAGGGTCCTGGGGAAGGTGGTACTGGCCTATTACAGTTGGGAGGTTTTGCACGGGGATCGGCGAGTGGAGGAGATGGTGGAAAGCAGTGACAACGGCGACCCATGGCCCTTGGGGTTGGCACAGGTGCCTCCTCCACCTGCCTTCTTCACCCCATTCTTCACCCCACCTTCACTGCACCGTTAGCCCCCACACCGTGATCAAACCAACCCTGCTCCATCAGCCCTGAGGAGCCCAGAGGGGTCACTCCCTCAGCCCAGCACCAGCCATGCTCCCCTCCAGCATCACAGGGGTCATCTTGCTCCTGTGGGATTTTTGGGGGGATAGATCTGCTTCTGGTTGCACCCCCTTCTTTGCAAGGGAAAAAAGCCTTGCAAAACCTCATCCAAAGCTCTAAACATGCCCCTCCAGGTCTCTGTGGAAGTCCATCTCGTGCCCATCATAACTCTGGGGGAAATAACCATTGGGCATCCAGTCCTGCCCTCCAATGGGGCAAGTGTCCTTGTGGTGGGGGCCTGCGGAGTGCTCAGGGGAGCAATGCTGTGCTGTGAGAGGCTACAAGGGTGCCAAATCCATGACGGAGAGGAGCCTCTGCTGGAGCCCCTTGGTGCCAAATCCCCCTTGTCCCATTCCACTGGTGGGGACCTGGTGGTGCCCTTTCCTCCCTGACCAGCTCTGGCATGCTCAGAAGGGCTTCAGGGGTGCAGAAACCTTCCCCCGAGATCGGCCGTGTCCTTTGGGCAGTTCTGGCTGCCAGCTCCAGCCGTGGCAGCGGGATGTGGTCCCCAGTGGGTGCGTGTCTGGCTCACTGGGATTGCAGTGCCCAGACCCCACAGCTCGCTTTCCTTTCCTTTCCTTCCTTCCCTTTGCTGCAGGATCTCTTCCCAGCACCAACACCCTGGAGACCCTTGTCATGGGGAAACGAGAGGCAACAGTCCCAAAATCGAACATAAAAAAATAAAAACAACAAAAAAGTCAGGAAGGCAGCTGAGGGCTGTCCCAGAGCGCCTGAGGCAGTGGATCTCCGTGGCGTGGTGGCTGCTGTCACTCAACAAGGAGCTGGATCCTGGGTTAAACGTAAGGGCCTGATGCAGGGACGTACTGCAGGGTGGCAGGAACCAGCCGTGGCAATCTGAGCGGTATCCTCAACGGGAAAGGATGGAGACTGGCATCTTCCTACCCACGGGAAAGGCTATCAACCAGCCTCAACAAAAATCCAAGACAAAACAAAGTGTAGGTTTGGTTTTTTTTTTTCCCCTGGAGCAAACCACTTTTTTTTTGGCTGTGAAAAAACATAATAAAATAAAATAAAATAAAAATCTCCATAGTTGGTCTTCCTCGTGGCGGCAAAGGGTGGTGAAGAGTTTTGGCCCCGATCCCCCTGTCCCCACGTAGGGATGCTTCAGTCTGGACAGCGATGGAATATCTGCGGTGTCGGCTCGGATGCAGCCCTCGGCGTCGGCGGGGCCCTGGTCCCACAGGCACCGATGCTCCTCCATGACTCTGCTCCCGTGCTTAGTCCCCCAGGTTATTGTTCTTGTTTGGGGAGGGAGGAGCATCTCTCCCCCTGCTTACAGTTAAGCCCTCCAGATTGCAGGTTTTGAGGCGAAGTTCTCCAAGGAGGAAAAGCCACGTCCGTGCATACACACGCTCACACACATGCACAAACGCTTCCACACCTGGATGGACAATGGTCAGAGTTCCGCTTGTCGAAAAAGATTTCTGACCTCCCGTTCGAGAGGAACCGGCCGGAGAAGGTTATCTTTCCTTTTTGGATGATTTCTTTTTGAAGTCCACGAATATTTTCAAGGGGGTATTCGTGCCGTTGCAGGGGCTGTGTTTCCCTCCCCGGCTCATCTCCAGACACGAGGCCAGCAGTCCCACTCCTCTTCCTGACGTGTCAAAATCTGCCTGGATCCGGGGCGGTCATTTGAGGCTGAAGTCAAATCATGTTGACTCGAGTGAGTCCCAGTGATGTGGGCAGGAGACTCTGGAGGACTGCAGCGAGGAGGGGGAATGCTGGTGCCTGCAAGGTTTTCTCTCGAGACCCTTTAGAGAATGACTGGCTAACCCAAAAAAAAAAAAAATTAACCCACCCAAAACCCGTACTGGAAAATCACCAACTCGGAGAGCTTCCTACATCGGGGTGGCCTCTGCTCATGGCAGGGGGTTACGGGTGGCATTGGGGAGAGGCGCGGGATGGCAGAGCGGCCGCGGCTGGTTTGTCTCTGGCTCTGTCCTTTCCTTGCTGAGTCCTTGTTGTCAAGAGGCTGCTGTAGATTCCGAGTCCTCAGTTTCTTCAGGATTTGTTTTTCTCCTTTCTGTTCTTATTTCTTTTCTTATTTCTTTTCTTTTCTTATTCCTTTTCTTTTCTTTGTTTTTCTTTGCTTCACTTTGCTTTTCGCTTTTCCTTTCTTTTCTTTTCGCTTTTCCTTTCTTCTCTTCTTTCTTTCTTTCTCTTTCTCTTTTTTCCCTTTTCCTTCCTTTCTCTTTTTTTTTTTTTCCTTCCTTTCTCTTTTTTCTTTTCCTTTCTTTTTTTCTTCTTACATGAGATGAAAGGAATCGGAGTCCCGGGGCGCAGGGCCTTCCTTTCTCTTTTTTCTTTTCCTTTCTTTTTTTCTTCTTACATGAGATGAAAGGAATCGGAGTCCCGGGGCGCAGGGAGGTGCAGAGGGGAGGGTGGAAGGGAGCCTGGGTAGGTAGTGATGGGGCGGAGGGAGGGGATGCGACTTCACTCCACGTTGCTGCTGTCGAACGCGTGGCACTGCAGGTCTCCACTCAGGTAGTCAGTCCCTGGCAGCTTCATGCCGTATTTGTCCACGCACCAACACAACCCACGCTTCCGGCCTCGGGAGGGCTTGCACTGGGGAGACACCCAAAGGCAAAGATCAGGAGATGGCCACCAGCCGCCACGTGCCTCCCTCACGCTGGGGATCACTGAGGGTCAGCCCCGCACTTTGCCCCTTCGACCCCAGCAATGCAAACCCCTGGGTAGGACCTAGTTCCTGCTCTCTGCTTTCAGCACATCTCCAACCCAGGGCTCTCTGATTTTCCCTCCTCCCACACCAGCTCCTTCAGGATGCTCTCCTCAGGCCAGATGGCGCTCAGAGCCATCTGCAAGGCCACCCACCGCCAAACACGCCTGAAGATGCCCACAGAAACTTTCCCACCAGCCCAGCAGAGCAAAAACCTCCAGCCTTTCCATTCAGGGCAGCAGACCCTCCCTGTGTGGGAAACATCCCCTCATAGGGCTGTTTCTTACCTGCTTCCTCTTGTAGAAGCCCTTTCGGTCACAGTTGGGGAGGTGGACAGCACGGGGGACCATCCGCTGGCTGCTCTTGAGCTCCTGCAGGGATGCCTCCATGTGCCTGCGGCAGGGACCCTGCAAATGGGGCAAAGCTGGAGCATGAGGAGGGGAACACCACGCAGCAAGCCTCCAGCCCCAAATGCCCCCAGGTCCCCTGTCCCCTCCCGCCGGCACTTGCTCCCCAGAGGAGCCCCGTGGAGGGCAGGTGAAGGCACTCACCAGCTCAAACTCTTGCCGGAGCTCGGGGATGACAACCCGGGGGTGTGCCGTGTTCTCGGCCATGCCCACAAACTTGGCCAGGGTCAGCTTCTTCCGGCGGTCCTTCTTCAGGGCCTCAGCCTTCATATCGGAGAGGCGGCCATGCTTGGGCCGGTAGGCCTTGGGCGGGTAGGTCTCCTCTGTCATCTCCGATGTGGTCGGCTCCTCATGCTCTCGGGACTCCCGTTCTGGAAGGGAAAGGGTACCAAACCATCAGGTCTCCGTGAGATGACTGGGGCTTGCTTTTGCATGGAGAGCCTCCTGCCTGAGCCCAGAGGACATCTTTGCACCAGGCAGGACAGGAACGAATGACCAAAGAAATCCCTTTCCCAGCTGCTACCTATAGCCCTGGCTTTATCACACTGTGTGGGGCTTGTCATGGCTTTTGTGTAACCCTGGAGCTCAGGATAGGAAGGTGTCTGAGGGCATGGAGGAGTTGGGGGTCAGGATGGGCTCTTACATAAAATGCTCTCATCATTTGTGGCATGTCAGTGGAAAAGGACTGGTGGGAGGGTTATCTCACACCCAGAAAGAAACAGTTGTCACACAAAATGTGGCAGAGAAGCCCCTGTTTAACCATTAAGTGACAAATTCACACCCCACCCTGCCATGCAGATGCAAGAGCAAAAGCCAAGGATGCTCGAAGATGAGACAACTCCGAAGTCAAGGTCAATCCCACAGCAAAGCCACCACACGACTGAGCAGACACTTGGGCAGCAACGCCAAAGACGTGGCTCACAAGTCCAGGGATCTCAAGGTTCCTCAGCCTGCAGCCCTCCATGCTCATAGGACCAAACCAGCCCCCGTCTGCTGGCACACACCGAGCAGCCAGCAAAGCCCTGGGTAATGCTGCTGAACGGTGCTGCCCGACCACAGTGGCCACCGGTAGCACTGCCAGCAAGGGAGGAGCGTGTTTAGGCTCTGTCCATGGCCGTCACCTTCCTATAGACCCCCGGATTGCCCCAGTGTGACCCGTGCCGGCAGGATGCAGCCAGGAACGGTTATATATAGGAGTGAGCTGGTGACAGTCTAAACTTAGATGACTTGTGACATTTAGTATGGCCACCGGAGTGAAAAAGGGTTATTTCTGGACTAAATTTGAAGAGAGTTTAAAGCTCTCAAGACTCCCAGTCTCCCAGTCCCAAGTTCCCAGCAGCCCTGCACTGATGCCAGGTTTGTGCTGGGGCCAGTGGGCAGGCATGAGGAAACCCACCACAGCAGGAGGAAAACCATCAGAGTGGCTGAAATCCCTCCCTGCATGGTGACTCCTGTGACTCCAATGCCAGGGAACCTGGCTCATGCCCTGTGCAACCCTACAGTGAAGACAGCAGGACACCAATTTTGCCCCTCCTTGCAACATCACTGTTGAGACAGAAGAAAAAGGATGAACATAAAGGTGGATAAACCTCCCCATAACCAGGCAAACATGAGTTTTCTTGTAGTTTGGCATGTCTGCGGAGCCCAGAGGCACCCCAGGGAGGAGGAGGATGGCTCTGCCCCACCAGACCGCCCAGGGATGCCCAGGGGATGCCGGGCACACTGTGCCCAGATGCACTGCTCAGCAGCAGATGGCAGCACCAGCCTGTCACACACACACACAGCGGGGTGGCCTTGGAGATGACCAAGGGGACAGGCTGGTCGCTGGACCCCCAAGCCTGCCACAGCTGCCAGTCTCCTCTCCCTTCTTGCCAAGGTGGACCTACCCTCTCCCAGCAAAACTGGAAACTTTTCTATGGCCACTTGTCTATTAGAGCAGCCCCTTTTTTTTTTTTTCCCTCTTTCCATGCGAACAGAGCTGGGTCAACATCTCAGACCCAGCACCATCCTAACTACACACAGCAATGTAATTGACCCCACGCACCACCATGTTCTTATGTTTGTTTTTTTTTTTCTTGCTGCAGGACTCAAAGGCCCCCAACAGGTTGGGGCTCTTCTATTATAAGGGGACAACAGACAAAGGATAGGGAAAAAAATTGATTAATTGGGAATGATCTTGGAAATGACACTGTACAAGGTGCAGTAGAATAGCATCCTTCGCCACAAAGACATTGTGGCAATCTGAGGTCTGTAAGGAGACCAGAGATATCCACAGTGACTAAGCCCTTCCACAGCAATGAAACACGCTGTGATCTGTCCCAGGAATCCCCTCTGGCACTGACTGCCAGGGCTGGACACCACAAAGCCAGGGCATCTCCCTGGGCTGCTCTACAGTAATTAAGGGGAAGGCAGGATTCACAACGGTGCAGGCAACCCTACAATAACACAAGAGGGGCACAGCTCATTACCTCTGCAATAACAAATACAAGAGGCACAGCTACCTGGGCAAACCTAAAATAACAAACAAACAGGACAAGGCAGTGAGGATTCAGTCAGAAGAACAGTACGGGGTGTCCAGTCCCCTGGACTCATGGTGCAATGGGTGTTTGCAGCAGCTTCAGCCTCTGCAAACACCTTATTTCTCTGCTTCCTGCAAGCGGGCTGGCAGGCCCCCAACAGGTTGGGGCTCTTCTATTATAAGGGGACAACAGACAAAGGATAGGGAAAAAAATTGATTAATTGGGAATGATCTTGGAAATGACACTGTACAAGGTGCAGTAGAATAGCATCCTTCGCCACAAAGACATTGTGGCAATCTGAGGTCTGTAAGGAGACCAGAGATATCCACAGTGACTAAGCCCTTCCACAGCAATGAAACACGCTGTGATCTGTCCCAGGAATCCCCTCTGGCACTGACTGCCAGGGCTGGACACCACAAAGCCAGGGCATCTCCCTGGGCTGCTCTACAGTAATTAAGGGGAAGGCAGGATTCACAACGGTGCAGGCAACCCTACAATAACACAAGAGGGGCACAGCTCATTACCTCTGCAATAACAAATACAAGAGGCACAGCTACCTGGGCAAACCTAAAATAACAAACAAACAGGACAAGGCAGTGAGGATTCAGTCAGAAGAACAGTACGGGGTGTCCAGTCCCCTGGACTCATGGTGCAATGGGTGTTTGCAGCAGCTTCAGCCTCTGCAAACACCTTATTTCTCTGCTTCCTGCAAGCGGGCTGGCAGCTGGGGACTAATGTGGAGCCCTTTTGGCAAGGGGAGATGGGAGCCACAGGAGCTCAGTGCCCTACGGAGGGAGCTGAGGGCTGGTGTGCATGGAAAGCTGCCCAGCTCCCAGCCCAAGCGCAGCTCTTCTTGCAGGGCCAAAAAAGCTCCTGGAACTGACCCTCTTCACCTTCCCCGGCACGCACGGGTCCCTGCTCACGTAGCAGTATGACAAGGGATGGCTGTGGTGAAGCTCCTCTGTCTGCTGCTCAGCAGCGGTGTCTACTTTGGGTCTTCATTTCCCAGTGAGAACCCTGTGGATGCCTTGGAGGGATCCCTTTCCACCACCCTCTGATGACTTTTAGCCTAATTTCCTCCAGCAACACAGGCTGAAGCAGTCCCTGCTCCTGCACCTGACTGTCTGTTCCCTAATTTGATACTAACAAGCCAGTTTTGACAAACTGAAGGACGGCATTCTCTGACACACAAACTCCTGACGAGCTCTGGGCAGCTGGTGAGGGACCTTGCTGGTGCCAACACGAGCGGGAAAGGCAGAGCCGGGGCAGGCGGCACCCACATGCTCCCCCTCCTTCACCTCCTGGAGGGTTCATCCACATCATCCTGCAGCAAGGACCAGACACCCACCTCAGCATCTCCAGAGACCTGCACCCTCCTGTCCATCCTCACCCACCAGCTTGTTCGTTAACCTCCATCTGCCACCCCGGGCTGGCTCGTAGCAGGCAGCATTGGCACCACTCTGTGTCTGCTCCGGAGGAGACGCTGGCAGGAGCAATGCCCAATTTCCCTAAATGAGCCCTAATTGTGCCTGTCTGAGACTCAGGAAGGAGGCTGGAGTTCCTCCTCCCTCGCTGTCAGGATCTGGCCCGCGGCGCAGCCCCTTCCCGCCTACTCCCATCCTCCTTGCCAACCTGGCGATTGGGTTTCAGGCTGGAGGGAGAGGCAGAGCGCGCTGCATCTCCGAATTTCAGCTATGGGCACAAGGCATAGGCAGGAATACCCTACTCACCGTGTCCCCAGCCAGGGGACAGTGGGAAGGAGGAGCTGGGTGGCTCTCACATCTCCATCCCTTCTCTCCACTCCTCAGGAGGAGGCGACCTCTCAGCAGAGCTCCCAGGCTCACTGGCCACACAGAAGAATGACATTGCCTGCTAAGCTGAGGATGCCTGGCTAGCTTGGAGATGAGACCTGGGCTGCTGCCACCTCAAGGTGTTGACCCTACAGCCAGGGCAGGAGACTGAACTCAACTCAGAGGCACTCCATGGCTTCCTCCTGGTGCCACAGTGCCCATGGAGAACTCAAGGAAAAAGCAGCAAGCATCTGAAGATGCTCCTGACACAGGTCAGGCCTGAAGGGCTGTGCTGTTGATCTCCTAAGTGATGCAGGCTCCCATGAGCCCCGGGAAGCAGAAAATTCCTATAGAGGAACGTGGACTGTCCTCTGCCCCAGGGCTAAAGGCTTGGTGCCTTCTCCAGGCTCCAGGCTGGCCACAGGGAGCTCCACAGCACGAGCTATTTCCAACCCTTTCACCCTGCCCCTACAAAAGGGACATGGAATAGCAAAATGCCCGGCAGAGTTTCTGGGAAGCTGCCAATCGCTCCTGTCCTTGACAGACATCGCCCAGAGCAGCCCATGCACCTTCCTGCACCTGGGCCAAAACCCAGCCTGGGTGCTCCTGTGCTCCAGACGCTCGGGACACGTGTGAGGTCCCCACAGGGTGGGTGGGTGTTCACACGTGGGTGCAGGGCGTGTGGGAACACCACCTCCCCGCCTGCTGACATGACAGAGCGGAGCAGGAAGCTTCTTCCAGATCGCTAGGAGGCTTGAATTTTCGTAACACGTTTTCATCGGTTTCTGGCAGGAAGGCAGGAAAAGTATCTATTGACCGCTGCTGCTAATGATCCGTGCCTGTGGGCACAGCCCACTGCTAGAGGACTCGCTGTCCTGTTCAAAATTCGCCAAAAAAGCCACATGCACCTAAGAAGGACAAGCCCAACCACAGCACAGCCTTGCTAAACAGCCCTCTTGATTATTATCATGATTATTATTATTTACAGCGTGAGCGCAACATAATACACCGCTTGAGCGGGAAGATACTGAAGAAAGACTTAACGGGGATCTCAGTTAAACTTCTAGCATAGAAATGACAG